ATTTCAACCACATAAATATGTTTGATATTTTATTGGATGTAAAAAAAATTAATATCTATCCAAATAACAAAAAAATATTAATAAATATAATTATACTATATCCATAATCTGTGTTTTCGATTTTTTTTTTTTAAATATATTAAATTTGGAAATAGGTGAATTTACACAAGTGTTTGGGAAGCTGCTAATTATTTTGATAAAATCTATTATACTATAATAATATAATAATACTGTAATAAATATAAATCCTTATTTGTATGATCTATATCTATATATTAATATTAAGCACTTGCGCTTGTCAATTATAATATGTAAAAATAATCAAATTTTGAGAAAAATCGAATAAAAAATATTAAATATAATCTATTTTTACAAAAAGAAAAGAAAATTTTAGTGAAATGACTGTTAAAATATTTTAAAAAAATAGTTATATAACAATATAATTCTATATTTAATTAAGTTCAGTGTTTTAATAAAACAACAATTTTGTATCAATTATAAGATAATTAACTATCATGCATCCAATGCAGTGACTAAAATAGAGTGAGAGCTTCGGTTCTCATTCTTAGAAAAATATTTGATTCTGTCAGTTTCCTACAAAGTTTGTAGAATTACCATAATCTATTTAAAACAAATGCGAAATAAATTTGAACTAAAAAAAAAAATTTCTCTTGTTAATTTAAATATTATTTTAAAATATATTTTCAAAATTGATTAACGAATGAAATGTAAGAATTCAAGACAATATTAAAAGTCTTCATCCTTTTTCTTAGAGGATATTTTGAGAGTTCTCAAAGTAATTATAGGAGAAGCGCACTCGCCATTAGCTCACTCTATAAATCTTACTGAACCAGATCATTACTATCTCCTCCTTTTTAATTTACAAATTTTATAAAATAGAGAGTTAAAAGATCGCAAGAACAATTTTTTTTTTTTCAAACTTTAATATATATTTTTTAAATATAAGTTAGGTTAGTAGCATAATTTATATGGTTTTTATCAAAATAAGTGTTTTTTTAAGCTATAAATCAATTATTTAAAACCAATAAGATATAATATATAAAATAAAATGTTTTTTTTATTGAATGGCTTAGTTAGCCACCCACCCAGGGATTGCATTGAAATCCATAAATTTTACTAATAATATTATTTTATGATTTTGATGTAATGATTATTTAATTATGATGTAATAGCAATAAATAGTTTCGATTATTTATTATAAATCAGATAACAACTCACTAACTTTAAGATATTTAAGTATATTGTTGAATGTTGAAAGAAAAAATTTATTAAATACTGCAAAACGCGATAGTTTTCAGGACTTACACGTCTTAAATCTTCTTTACGTTCCACGGGGGTGAAAAAAACTTGATTTAACTGTGATAATGAATATTTCTATAAATATTATGAAATAAGAAGAAACACATTTTACCTTAAAAAAATATAGATTTATATACTATCATTCACAAAATAAAAATATATTAAATATTATTTAGTCATCTATATAATAAAAAACTTTATGGGAACTAAAAAAAATAAGATTTTCTATATAAAAATTAAAATTACAAGCTTTTTTTTACAATTAAAGTTTAATTAAGTTTTAAACATATAAAAAAAATTCAGTCCTAATTGCCTGGTATTCTGATAAAGTCATTATATCAACCCCCTTTCCCCCATTCGAACCTAAGACAGATGACTCAATTAATGATAATTTTATATATTCCGATTACGCCATGGTAATTATCCACCCTTTTCCCAAACTTGAGAAAACTTTTCGCAATAAAAGCAATATAAGGTATCGACTTATGAAAAGGAAGGGGTATAATCGCCTACATATATTTACGGGTAGAAGGTAAATTTTGAAATTTTACTCCAAATTTTTATCTCGCAAAGATGCTACGAATGGAAAACTGAACGATTTGTATAACCTTCAGAATATTTCAGCCTAAGTTAATTTCTACAGCGGGAATAAGATATTTGTCTATCGCAACACCTTCCAAACAAGTGTTACACAGGGGTTCCTTATTACTTAAATGTAATGCTTATTCCTTCTAAACCCCAATTTCAATAATTTTTTTAACTCAATTAACCCAAATTTTATATTTAATCATTACCTGAGTAGTTGTTCAAATACATAACTATATCGGACTAAAATCTATCTCTCACTTCAGAAAATCAGTTAGCTAGAGCAGTAAAAAATTTACTTTATTATGACCTCTACTTCTTTAATACCCAAAAGTTATTTTATTCTGTGAATGAGGGGATGGAGGTTAATGATATAATACAACATAACTGAAATGAACCGACTATTATTCGATTCGTCAAATAATAGATTTGAAAATCAAATTTTTTTAAAAATATTTTTTAAATTGAAAATTATAAAAATTAAATAAAGTTTAAAAAAATAATAAAAGTTTAACAAGAAACATGTTAAATATACTGATGTTCTATGTATAATTTAATCATTACAAATATTTAGAATAATTTGATAGTTTAAGTAAAACTTCTTTTTTTATCCCGCCTTATATAAAAAATTTTTTTAGATGTCTTAAATTATAAGTGATAAGATAACGATTCCATTCATTGCTAATTATAAATACATGCAGTAAGTTTCATTCGCAGAGTCGGAACAGATTAAAATTTAAATTATAGAAATGCATACCGTTATAAGAACCGACATCGGCAAATTATATACAGTCCAAATTTAAAGTCTATTAATTATTACGTCTACACAATAAGAAAATGTCACTACCCATAAACCTCTACTCCCTTAATTTGCTACGATGAACAGCACTAGAATAGCTATACTATGTAATATTTTCTTGAAATATAACAAGCATTTGTAAAAGGGAAATAAATTTTTAAACTTAAAATGGCAATATATACATTAAGATTGTAAGAGATGTATATGCCGTTGTTTTAGAAACCCACTTAGAAGATATGATACAAGGAGAGACGGTATCTTTTACAATAGAGAAAGCTTTAGTATTCCTATAAATACTATCAGATTATATCTTACATATATGTAAAAAAATGTATTACCATAATGATGATAAGTAATAATATGAAAAGCACATGACTTAGTCATGCTTAGGATTTACACAGACTCGACCACCGCCTATTCCGTGAAGGGAAAATGAGGGATGAGATTATCATCACTAGAGAATAATAACCAAGGTTATGCATAAGATAGGAATTGCATACTTCGCCGCAATAAGATAAAGTATATTTTTGACCTGATAGATGAAAATCTGACTGACAAACCTTCAGAGGAATGGACAAAAAGATGGCAAAAAACTCTAATAGATTAAAATTATTTCAATGCCAAATTTAGGTCTTTAATGATATTATAAATTAATTTTAAAAGTTTTGGTTAAGGAACAAGTGCAGCAAGTTAACATACCGGAACATGCCTAGGCACGTGATATTTTATTATAAATTGAACGTGTTTAGGGTAAATCATTTATTGCTCACTTGTAGTGGATAAATAACGTGACTTTATTAATATTAAATAATTCAATAATCTTTGTTAAAATATTTTAAAAATTAATAAAGGGCAGGAAATGGAAGCCATAATTAATTTGCATACGCAGCCACATTTTCTGTATATAAATTTTTCCATTTTATTAGAAAGGAAAGAAATAAAGCCTATTTCTATATCAAAATATGGAGTATAAGATGTGGTCTTCTTAATCTATATAACTACTAAACCTTTTATATTACTAATTAATATAAAATAGTACATCTCTGTATTAGTTCAATTTTATTGATTCCAAGTAGTTTTGTTAAACGGTGCGGCTTAGCCGATTATAAAGAACGGCTAATCAAGATTATAACCGATTTTCAAAAACGACTAAATAAAGATTTTCACCAAAACATTATTACCTAAACCTCAAAATTTGGCTGTAGATGTCTAACTTACTGCCATCTAGGCAAAATTTCATAGCTTGGATAATTTACTTTTGCGTAAAATCCTAAGTTAGCACTTTTAAAATCAACTAAATCGATCCGCTTAAAAACACTAATACAATATAATAATTAAAAAAAAATTTACTCTATATCTCTTAAACAATATAGTATTATACAATCAAAATGTTTATATGTTTAATTATAATTCTCAGATATAAATCCCCCTCCCCTCCATAAGAAAGATTAATTTTTGGAAAACTGTCATTTGTTTTGTAAGACATTTAATGTTCGAGAATTATGTTAGACCAAGAGATTCTAAAAAAAATAGATAATATTTTATCTAATATGATAAATATCAATCAACCAATATAAATTTAATAACAAAAAATTAGTGAGTTTTATATTCCTAATTAAATTAAATATATTTGCATATCTCCAAATCAACAGAACTTTTTAATTTAAATTTATTTTCATAAAGAATGAATTAGATATACATATAATGTCATCTTACATTAGCTAATAAATATAAATATGATAAATTTGTGTGTACAACTTTTGTGCAAAAATATATTAACCTTCTCATTATATTAAAATAATTAAATATAATTCTATTACCCATTGTAAATAAATTTACCTATATAAAGAGTTAAAATACAGATTAAAACATATATATAAATTCGTTGTGACGCAAAATATAAGGTGTATGATTTGTATTATGTAAAAGAAAAAAACAAATATCTCATTCCTAATTCTTATACAACATTGGAATCAAAATTATGGTCCTTCAAGTTATATACAATAAAAAATTTAAGTTCTTTAAAAAAAGTTCTTATTAAATTTGATAATAATTTAGAACCTAAAATTGGATTAAAATGCTATTATAAAAATTCAAGATCTTAAAAATAACTAGATTTATTTTAAAAATATTAATAGAATAATTATTTATAATATTAATACAAATTATTTCGTATAATAAAAATATAGTATTTATATTATAAAAGGATATCTAATATTCCCTAAAGTACTTACTTACTATGAGTATAAACCGGGGTTATTTGGAATAATTAATACTCGGTATATTTAACGAAATAGTTAATCTTCTAAATTATAGTATTTGAATAATTATTTAGAAGTTTTATAGAATTTTTAGTTAAAATAAAGGATAAATTCAAATCAGTAACTCTAAATCATATTTTTTGTTTATATATGGATATCGAATTTATTTGGGTTTCTACGCATTAATTAGCTTAGAGTTTGTATTGTCAGAGTCTAAAACAGGATTTGGTGTGCCTGAAGCAAAGTTTTTATTGTTATCGGAGCTGGTTAAGATTAATCTTATTTTATTTTTCAAAAAGATAAATATTATTAATTATAAAAAAATAAGTGAGACGAATTAGTCTATTATTATAGCTAAAGGTGATTCAATTCTCATTAAAAGTGTTTTAAGTTAATAAAAAGCGAACTTAATGCTGGGTTACCTCAGGCCAAAAAATGTATAGCTCACCCCCAAGAAATATGTGTTCTTTAAATTTATTACAATATAAATTCTGATTAAATTTCTTAAATCCATATTCTAAAATCGAAATATTAAACAAGTAATTATTAGTCTCAAGAGGGTTATGTATGTAATCCTACTGAGCTTACTTTTTAATTTAATGACTAAATGTCCTAGCCTTAACATAAACTAAGTCAATATAATTAGAAATTTCAATTCAATAACAAAAAAGGACTATACGTATTATTTTTGGTTTCAAAAAATATTTAAAATATCAAAACGAAAAGCTTTTTCAGTTTTATCTATATTTTTTTTAAATTTTTTAATTTATATTTTTAAAAAACTCTTTTGAAATTAAAGATCTGAGTATTTTTAACATATTTCCCAGATTAATCTTCTTACAATGTTACATTGCATATAAATTATTAACTTGAGAAGAGAATGTTGAAAGTAACTGGATAGTAATAAAAATATCACGCAAATTTGAAATATCGTCTTCATTTCCAAGTTCTGTATTTATATTTTATAAATAATTGTCTCGTAAAATATCACTTTTTTTAAAATATATTCAAAAAATTGATATTCCTTAAAATAAATCAGCCAATCCCTATGACTTAATATTATCTCATAAGAAAAGATATATACCTATTATAACTAAATCAGCGTTCTTTCATAGTGAAGGTCATCAATAAATATGCAAGAGTTTAAGTTAAAAGTATTAACTTTTAAAAAGGTAACGATTAAACATTAAATTAAGTATAACTTTTTAAGCGATATAATTAACTTAGATTGTATTTTATTTATAAATAATATTCCTTTTTGGAGAAAAATCTATGCATAAATATTGTGTTTACCTGAAGCAAGATGATTATCACAATTAAATTCAAAGGAACCCTGAAAATATTCATTATAGTTGAGCGAGCTGAATGGATAAAATTTAAAAAAATTTGTATTTAATTTTATAAATTACAAACAACAAAAAATTATATTTGACTCATTAGCATCATTTTATCTAGATAATTTTTTTTTTACTTTCCTCGGGAATGTATTTGCCACGTAACATTGCTATAGAGGGCCAAAATATCCCGACGCATACTTCGAAAATTAAATAGGAAACGAATATAAGGGTGCGTTTCTGAATCAATATTTTTTTCAAACAAATAATTCAAATGTATGAATTTTCACATTTTTTAGTTGAATATAAAATTTGGTTAAAATAATTATTTTTGGGAAAAACTATAAAATTTAAACAAATACTTATGAAATTTTAACCAAATTAGTGTTTTAAGTTTTTGAAAATTGTACAAAGTTTGAAGAAAAAAAAAGGATATTTAAATTTATCATAAATAATACAGTGTAATATATAAAGACTTTATTTTATGAGATAATATGCGACCATAAGTGTCTTAACTGATGTTTCATTAGTTCCCTATGAATTTAACATGGATAATTTAATTTTATTGTTTTAATGAACAAATATTTTATTATAAAGGGTAATATTGGTAAATATTTTTTCCCAAATGTACTTAAAAAATTTTATTATTTCAATTCAGTTTTAAAAGGGATAAAATGTTTTATCAGTATTTTAAAACTTTTTGGGTGTATTGTTCAAAATTGATATGTCAACTTTCTTTACTTCACAAGAAAAATATTTTTTAAAATTAACAACTTAGTTTTAAACTGAATAAAAATTCTGGCTAGTGAAAGACAATTATCACAAAACCTTTGGGAGTGAAATTGATGGTTGATTTTCTTTACTCTATTAAAAATAAAAAGAATAACAATTAGGTATTTGGCAAGATGAAATGTTTAGGGTGGTTAGATATACCTGTCATTATTTTAAGAGTAGTTTGAAATAAAATTGTCAAATTTCCTTAGGCCATGAGGAGAAAAAGTTAAAATTTTTAAGCGTAAAAATTTATTTTGAAGAAATAGCTTTATTTTTTCGTGTAATAAAGAAAACTGGTTAATTAAATACTCCCAAAGTTTTGTTTGTAATATACTAACTAAAATTTTTATTCTTTCTAAAACCAAGTTTTTATTCCCCTACCCTCTAAAGTTTTACCCCCTTACTCCTCCCTTTCTAAGTTTCACTCTCTCCTACAATATCAAAATTAGCAAAAAAAGCCCATTCTCAATTTCAAGAAGTTTCTTTTATTTTATAACTCGCTCATTATGTTAAATTGAGTTTATTAAAATTTACTTTTAATTTCTGAGTGTTTCAAAAATTTCGTTAAAATGATATTTCTCCGCTTTTTATATTTAAAAAAACAGTTTTCTTTTTAAATGTTTTTTTTCCATTTTTTTAAAACATTTCTAACTATATTAAATATCAAATAAAAGTTAAAACAAATCTCATAAATCTCGAAAAATTCCAGGTCGATCTTTTGGTTTTCTAAGTTGTAATATAAATATTCGCGATTCTCATAACTTCAGCCAATTCCATTTTTTTTGAAAAATTTATTAATATATTCCGATGAAAAAAATCGGCAGTCATAATTAATAATAATGTATCAGTTTTAGGTGATTCTGGCCATTCTCCAAGGGCCTAACAAAATAGGCTTTTCTAGATCCAAAAAATGCTCTAACAGCTTTATGTCCATCTTGTTGTGGAGGCTATTCCTGTAGTACAAGAAGTCTCCGAAAAATTATATTATAGTCTAAACACTTCGTACACATTAGAAATTTCTAATTATAGTTATAAGTAGAGATAATTTAGAAAGAAATTTTTTTGGTTAATAAAATTTTCTCATATCCATCAGTATTTAAGGTTTAAAAGGTGGTAGAAAATAAAAAATTGCTACGGGAAGGGGGGGGGGGGAATTTTTTTACAATTTTAAATTTAATCTGTGAATATCAACAAATCATGGCTTGTATGTATGTTATTTTACAATCTCGATTATTTTTGATTATATCTTAGAACATACTGAAAAATAAATACATTTTAAAATAATTTTTTATTATATTTTGATTATCAGGTCAGGGCGGTAAAAGAAATCAGCCTCTTTCAGGTCTTAAATATCTTATACATTTTAATTATATCATGATATTTACAAATAAAATCGTTATTACTAAAATATTTTACGAAATTAAATTGCGTATTAATTTATATGGTATTTATTTAGTTTAAATCATCCTGAACTAACTTTCTAAATAGTAAGAACTACCTATAGTAGTTAGGTTTAAAACAGGGGCGTCGTCATTAGACTTCAGTTTGTCAGGGCTCAATGGCGACTCAAACTCTAAAAAAAAATACGAACCAATATATCGTGGGCTGAGTATTAAAATGTTCTATATCCACTTTTTTTGCAAAATGTTTTTTTTTGATAAATTAATTCTTCAGTACTATATTCTTATATAGATATATCCACAATAAAAATGTTAATCTATAAATAATTGAGAATAATCATTTACTTGCATAGTTATCACGTGATTTCATATTTAAAAATACAAGAAATCCATTTTTCTAATGTTCTCCTAAATAATTTTAAAAAAATGGATATAGAACACTATAATACTAAGCCCACTTTTCAGCTCGTGCAAGGATCCATCTCTCCCCTCATAAGCCCGATCTCATTGGTGGTTCCCTAGTGACGCCACTGGTTTAGATATTCGTTCAAAATATGTATAACCATAAAGATTATGACTTTTTTTTTGTTTATTAAATCGTTTCATTTTTATTACTCCAGGGAAAAGTATAGGAATTAGGAATGTCGAAGAGGAGATCATCAGAACGTATCTATTAATATAAAATGATAAAATTAACTAAAATATTATATGTATAAGAGACCTGCCCCCGTCCCGTTAAAAATTTATTTTTTTAAAAACCTGAACCGGGTCTATAAAAAATTTTTTTTTAAATACCTGGGCCGGGTTGAAAAATTTTTTCTCTATAAATCCGGGCCGGGCACTATAGGTATCTCTGTAGGTCTCTGATATATATTATTAAACGAAACAACTAAAAATGGTTCTAAAACTTAATTTTTGATATTATACATTTACCCAAATTCATAAACTTCGCCAAAAATTTATTTTTTTATTTTTTTCAAGACAAAGATTTCCAAAATAAAATATGGTTCGAAGGTTTTTCCAAAAAAAAATATTTATATCATTGAGCATAAAAATTATAAGACATAAAAACATGTTCCATAAAAATTACAGGTTATAACTGATTTTTAAGGGCCCAATTTTGCCTATATTCACAAAGTTCACCATAATATATAAAATTAAGTTATTTATAATATCTTATAGCTGTATGAATTCTGACGAGTAGAGTATGGATTGAATTGAGGTCTGACATCTTTCTTTTTAGAAATTTACTTCCAATTATTTTATTTATCATCATCGCTTTGTTTATAGGGTGATGCCTCGTTTACATTGAACGCGAAAGCAATATCGCTCAACAGATGCTTAGTTCATCGATAAGCGATATAATAGTTGTATAATTTAACATTATTAATTATGTATATTATGCATCGTTTGAATGATATGGTGGTATTTCGAGGTTACCATAAACGATGCCTGATTCTTCGACAAATCAATTTTCTAAATTCGATTTTCGATATCTTTATTATCTAAATAGTAATTTTTTTGGTTGGTCTTTATTTCGATGAAAGAAATGGACCATTGTCTAACTGAAAGATAAATTTTCCAAATGCGAACCATATTTTGTGGTGATATAAAAAATTCTTATGATAAAATCTGCTGACTATAATTAATTACTAATACATATTTCCTATGTCTTTTTTGTCATACAATCCCGCTAATGAAGGTCAACGATTCTATCGGTCTTAGACCGATTGGTGCATCGATCTTTTTATTTCGATCATATATAAGCTTGCTTTACTATGCAATATAATTTTTTTGTATATTTTGTTTTTTTTGTGAATATTTCATTTTTATTTTGCAATATGAAAACCATATGTTTGTCAAAGAAACATTTTACTTATAGTCCGCAATAAAAAAAAATATATAGGTATGTATCCACTGCAGTACCTCAGCAACAAGTAACAAAATAATTGTTAATGATTTTTTTGCAGTAAATAAATCAAATATGCAGTATCTTTATTAATAAAATCTTTAGGCCATTATTTTTTAGTTCTATTTTTTCTTAATCTGCACGAATAATTTGTCAAAATAATTAAACCTTATTCTTAATAAAAAAAATAATTAGGTACTTTAAGCAGACATCAGATAAAACATAAAATTTATACTTATAATGATAAAAATATATCAAAAACACAATCCATACTCTTAATTTCAATATGTCCTCCACGGGCACAAATCACTTTCCTCAATATCATTAGAAAAATTTTAAAGTGAACATATGAACCAATTAATAATAAAGTAGTTAATAATGGACTGTCTGCCAATGAAGACTTTTGAAAGTTCAGGTCTTCATAATTTAGTTGCATATTTGAATTCAACACTACAATCTGGTCTAAAAATAAAATTACAAAAATTATATAACAACTAATTTTTGAAAAACTAAAGAATTCATTTAAAAAAGATTAAATAATAATGATTCCTTAATAAGTTTTTAAATACTATTTAAAAAACCTTTTTTATTCTTTATAAAAAAGTGAACTTTGTGAATCACAAAAAAAAATTAATTTTTAAATGTTATAAATGTTTATATTTCATATAATTTTTATTCAATTATTAGTAATATTTAGAATTTTATATAAATTATAAAATTATATATCGTCCTAATAATATAAAATAAATCGTTCAAACATATTTATTTTTTTTTATTTTGTAAAAATTAAAACTAAAAAATATTTGGCCAACTATATTCGTTGTGTTAATGTTTTTTAACATCTTTCTGCTTATAAAAAAAAATAATAATAACTCATCATCTCAAATAAATGTCAAATTCCTTTTATCCCGACCTTATTCTAAGAATAGTCAATATTTCCTCAAATGTTTTATAAACCTCATAAATGATTCTGGGGTTGAGCGTGTTGACAGTACTTTGAATAGGAGAGAGCCTATCATTATAGCGATCTGTTTTTATTAAATGCAAATTTTATAAGAATTTCAACAACAAAAAAACAATTATATTTATAATGAATAGTAGAAGGGGAGTAATAAACGAACCTACAAATTTTCAAGGAATATGCAACTTCGAGGAAACATTTTAATTGGATGAAATATATTTAAAATTAAACAAGTATGTAGGATTAACGGTGAGGGAGATATGGGTTAGGGTTAATTAGAGGTTTGAGAGATATGGATTAGTGTTAAGATATATTAAATTTTGGTTTTTTTAATAAAATTTAATCATTTTTTATTAATAACTTATCAAATCTGACAGGTCGTGTGATCAAAAATAAATCCCTCGAGTTGGCCAATAATCAGCCGAGGTTTTAATATATTTGAAATGATAAGAATTACAAAATAAATTGGAAGGTAGAGAAAAAGCGAACCAAAAAATGTAATTTAAAAAAAAAACTGATATATAATAATTAGTGTACTATGGCAATCAAATGAATAAGATACTTACCATAAAACCAGCAAATATGTATCCGTGAGGAATATCATTATCCGTTACTAAAACGTATTCCTCACCCATGAAGTTTGATCTGATGGTTACGTAATCGCTATTCGAATAATTTTTGCTCGCCAAATAGTCATCCAGATTCAAACGATTATCGTATTTCCGGATGAGGGATAAGGAAGGGGTCCATTCCAACACGAAGGTATACATGCAACCTTCGAAAAGAGACTGGGTTATACCCAGGCAAAATATCTTGTGATCTTGTGTATCGTGACAAATATATTGTATAATAAATTAGGGTCTAACAAGAAAATATTTTACATTGAGCATTTAATGATTATTTTTCGCCCAAAATTTGAGCAAAAATCTTTGAAGATCCATAAATTATTTGTAAGATGAATTTTTTGTCAAAATTTGATCGAAAATCTTGTGTGAACCTTCTGAAACATTTATCAAAATTGAGGAGTTTGTAAGTGATTTTAACGTCATTTTATATATAAAAAATGCGAATTTATATTTTTATAATTAAAATTTTAAGGCCGGGCGCGGTTCGAGCCTAAGATAAAAATTAGGGCTCAGACCTAAAAAATATTTTAGGGCTCGGGCCGAAGAAAATCCAATTTGCTTGCAAGACTCTAGCCTCGATCATGTACCAAAGATTAATAAATAAATATTATAGAACAGAATCTAATCTAGGAACGGGGTCAAATCTAAGAACTGGAAATAAAATCTCTTTTTTTTTAATTTTTAGGAACAGGAACCAGAATCGCCATTTTAATCTAGGTATCGACCTCTGGTAATCGATAATTATAATATTAAATTTTTTTAATTAATGTACGTCAATACGTTTTAAGAAAATTATAAATTAAGCGTATCATGATTTTAAAACCTTCTTTGATATATGTGAACCCTGTTTTAAAGGTAGTAAAAATATCGCTTTTAGGATTTCCATAATTTTCGCTCCAAGAGAAGATTATAACTACTATCATCGCCATTAGCACCAAAAATGATATATCGAATGGGGCGCTAATTATATTTATTTTAAAAGAAATTTAAATAATTTAATGCGCGAGATTCATATCCATGTAGAGTATATTAAATGTACTAATAAGAGTGCCCAGCGTTTTGCCGTACCCTTTTAGTATATAAAAAAAGTAACGGAGGTTGCCTTTTTATTATTATCCTCGATTCAAAATTTTAAGTAATAAAAAAAATATTAGTTTTTATAAATTATATTATCGTCTGCTTTTTTATTACATCATTCTAAATTATCCATTTTAAAAGATAGGTTATTTTTTTTTTACATTTTATATGGTATTAAATTTAATTAACATATAATTAAACAACAAGGGATGGATTTTTATTGCCCTTATTCTTATCAGGATAACAAGGTTTTGTTGGCGCTCTTGTGAAAAATAGGTTCTTATGGAACGAGTCATCGACCAACATGCAAAATGAATGAATGAAAAGTATTGGAAAAAGCAAATTAGGTTTTTTAAAGATTTCTAATGTCAAATGGTAATTTGACCAATTTGCAAGATAATATTTGAAATGCATTATCTGCATTTGCAACGCAACGTTTGAAACCTCAATTTGGGCATACTATGACATAATACTTTCCTTTTTAAAACACTAAATTAAACTATCGTTCATAATATTAGAAAAGACTAATAAAAAACTAAAATTGTATACAATAATCACTTTAATGGCAAAATTTGATTTTACTCCTCCACCCATCCCCTTTATTAATGACGACTTACACGTATCCAAAAAAGTTGACGGCTATTTGAGCGATCAAACCGGAAACGATGGCGACAATCGAATTTCCCAAGTATGCCCGTGAAAAAATGGCGCTCAAAGATTGCGAATCTAAGCCCCGCTTATCAGATTAAACATGAATAATACGGCATTAGGTTTAGTTAGTATAAAGTCAAACGAAAGAATAATAAAAGTCTTCTTCCATTGTTTATAGATCTTCCATAAATATAGAAATATTTAAGGAAGAAAAGAAATATGAATAAATAAATAAACAGGGTTGCTAAAAGGTTATAGTTCATTTAGATCGTTAAATTTTTGAAAGGACCAGGAACTAAATTGATTTCTTTAAATCTCAATTGATGGGGGAGGGGGGGGAGAGAAATTAAACTTTAACAACCACTGGAGGATGAAGGTACATACATATCTAATTTACGCTATTAGATTCACATATGAGCCATGATTCCAAAGCGCTGTATAAAATGGACGTAGCAATGCCTCCGAATAATCTTCCAATCATCAAGATCCAGAAATTGGGAAAATGCTATAAAAATAAAATAAAGACGATATTAATATTACATCGTTCCTTTTAAGGATTTGTGAATAATTTACAATTTAGCTATTTTACGAGTGGGATGGGAAGGGTAATAAAACTAATAAAATGTATCGCTTAAAAATTCTCGATTTTAACTGTTTTATATTTTTAAAAATAGAGGTTTTAAACAAAACTAATTTGTGAGATATTTTTTGTGAGTTTTTTAAAAAAAAAAATATTTGTAGATAAGTTAAATGATTGGAGTAATATAAATGAAATACAGTTAGCTAGGAAAATAAAAAATTAATAATTTAAGCATAATATTTTTAAAAAAAAATTAAAACAACGTTGTCAAACTTCACATTTAACAAGAACGTGTTCAATAATTAAGAACAATTTAAAATATTCACGAATAATTCCATCGAGTAATGAAGAGACTATTATTCGAAGAATATTTTTTTCTGCATCTATTCAATTCCTATCTTTCGAATACGAATAAATCGTTTTAGGCCGAATCATAATTTATATATTACTTTTATATAATTTAATCATATGATTATATAAATTTCTTTAAAACTAATAAAAAAAATTGATGATTTAAAATCTTCGTATGCTAGCCATTTTGCAAGAAACGTTGATTTCTAATATTGGCATAGATTTTAAAAAAATGGAATAACGCGGAAGAAACCATAAAGAAAAATGAAAAAAACGAACAAATAATAAAATCAAAATTAATTCCATGAATTCCCTGTCTGGAGTAAACAGCAATAAATCACATTCCATGTAATTTATGTTTTAAGACAATATAACGAATTTATTAGACCAAAATTAAATTTGAAATATCATGCACCTTAATAAAAGAGTAAAAATCGGTAGAGAAATTAAGAAAAATGTAAATCAAATAATGAGGAGAGGGTGGCAAAAATCAGCCCAAAGTAAATCTAATAACAGCTTATAGATGCGGTATCTCTATTAGATCGGAGGGAGCTTATCATTTTCCAATTCTGATCTGTATTATGAATGGTTATTGAACAATATGATAAAGAATTCATAACTGACTATATATCAGTAGTTAAAGAAATCTTGCTTTTAGCATTTTTGAAAGTTTTTTAATAAATTTTTTTTTAAACTATGATATATACTCTGTTTGATTGCACCATAATTTTTCGTCTTTGAAAATAAAAGAATATCCTTGAAATAATGCTACCCATTTCATGGAAAGGAACGTTATACTTTTCATTATATATTTTATAAGAAGTTTATATAAAAGCTGATTTTCATGAGGTAAAAATTACGTATGAAAATATTCTAGCCTATCTTAATTCTTTCCAGATTTAAGTTAGAATTATGTCTATTAAACACGATAATCCCAAAATACATGATATCAGCAGTATCATATATATAATACATCTTTATATTGCCAAATGCCTGGCTAATATAATAAAATAGTGGGCGAGAAAATGATTATTCTAATTGATAAATTTAAATTTGTTAAAAAGCGGCATATGTTGCCAAAATACATGCAAGAGTTGGATATATCAGGCGGGACACACATTCTCTTAGATGTTGAAACACGATGGAATTCAAAATTTCTAATGATATCCTCCTTTAACAAAGTAACTTAAGCTTAATCTTTATGTAAAATATATTTTTTTATGAAGCAGTCAATAAATTAGGGGAAAAAAGGCAGCTATCAATATAGCCTAATATTTATAAATAAGGAAGAAGCAAATTTTTTAAAAGATGTAGAAGATTTTTTAAAACCTTTTTATAAAATAACTTTTATGGTTCCACTGTAATTCATATCATATTATTATTACTGACGATATCGTATTGTAAAATACAGCGGAGGTTATGTAAAACAAATGTGTATTATATATTAAACATATGACAATAGTGTCTTATTATGTCTAGTTTATTGGACTCTAAAACCAAACAAATATTTTTACCTAACTCATAAATATATCGGATTGTTTTGATCAATTTAAAACTTTATATATAAAATTTGACATCTCATTATCAAAGTCAACAGCATTTGAAAATGGTATATTAGACATTGAGACATTACCATATTCTGTAAGCATAAATAATAGTCTACAAAAGTAAATATATGATTACAGTTATATATGCCTATTATTTAGGGCTGCGTAACAATTAAAAGATCCATTGATAGGCGAAATATCACAATATTTAAAAGATGTAGCTAATCCAACAAGTTTATCGGATTGGTGTTCGAAAAATAACAATGTATATCCCCACTTATCGTTAATAGCGAAAGATTTTTTAGCGCAACAAACGACAAGTGTTACCAGTGAACGGATTTTTAGCAAGGGAATGCATCTAACAAAAAAAAGAAATGGAATATCATCCACCACCTTGAATCATTGCATATCCCTTGATTATTGGGAATTAGATCTGTTAGAGTAAAACATATGTGTATTTTTTAGTTAATGTATAACGCGATATTATTATAATCTATTCTTATAACACAAATAATCTTTATATACTTTATATAGAGAAATTTTAAATTATATTCATTTATTAATAAAATAGCCATTAATTTATGTGTTGATTTTTTTATCGTCGTTTTAAATTAGATATTTAACTCGTCATTACCTGATAAGCCCAATTTTTTTAAATGTTCTTAGATCAAAAATAAATTTTTAAATGAGAATTATCAGCTTATGCTTAATATAACGCTATTTATTAATTTACTAAAACATATAAAATATCCATTTTTATTAAAATGACAGAGAAGTTTTTAAATGACAAGTTACAATTTTTAATTACATTATAATTGAGGTTACAGCGAAAGTATTTAAATGCTTATTTTTATTAACCAAAAACAATTTCGGTAGTCAAAGAGCAATTAATTTTATAATCTCGAATAAATTGGGTTTGGATAACTATCTAAATCTGAAACCGGTCTACTTATGGCTGTCTGATGGCAAGAGACACAACAGCCTTGCCAAACCCTTAATTAGAGAACATCTTATTTTAGATTTCACCTAAATCTACCAATTCTCTTCTAACCCAAACATTGACCCGATTATAACAGCCTAAAGGTGGAAAATTAAGAAGTACCACTACCTATGTGATTTTAATTTCACTCCAATAGTTATTTCTACCAATGGATTATTAGGTTCCCTAATAATTTTTTTTAAAGATTTTTTGCAATAAAATGTTGGTATATTCTATTTTCTGTAATATAAAAAACGTTTGTTTTTTTCGTTCGTTTTTTGTCCTCCTGAAAAACAGTTTTTCCCCTTCTTAATTTATTGTATTAGTGTCTGGTCCAGAAGTTCGGCCCTGGAGAAATATTTTATAACATTGACAATGAATGAATGAATTCAAGGACAATAAATGATGACGGTTCTTCAAAAAAAAGCAATATGAAACTTTTTATAAAAACAAATTTTTTACTAAAGTTCATTCAAAGTGCGTCAAACGATCATTAAAAAATTGTTATATCAACGACATAGTCATTCATAAACGATTGAAATAATGTGTTTTGGAAATGATGAATTCCATTAATTCATACTTAAAACTATAAAATAAATGGATCAAACAAACGATAATAATAATAATAAATGAAAATAAAAAACAATGTTGAATTAATTATTCCTCGAGGGTAGAATTTGTTTTTAATCATTTAATGAATTGCTATATAATTATTTATGGTTCATTCAATTGTAAATATGAAAGTTTGTTATGAATTTATGGGAATTATAAAATGTCGTAATATAAAAATAAAAATTTAATGTTCTTGTATAACAAAAATGCAAGGATTTTATTTGTTTTATTGTTAAAGGGGAAGAATTTTATAAAAGGTTTAGGATAAGGGGAATGAAAAATATTGTTGGGATAATGTATTATTTTTGCAAGGGGAAGGGGGAAGGAAGAAAGAAATGGTCATTTTCGAAAGAATGTCGAAAATAAAACAAAATTGCCTTTAAATTATATATTTTTTATTTATAAAAATATTTGTAAATATTAATAATTTTTATTTTTAAAGTTTTTTCAAATTGTTATATTCTATATAGTTCTATTAATATACGAGTAGGTTTGTTAAGCCCAGGTATATTCCCGGGAATTCCTATAAATATTCTAGGCAAATTTGTTAAAGGGGAAATGGAATATTCTCAATTTTTTAATATTTTTGAAAATCATTAAAAAATATTAAATCTATTTTTTTTAAAATAATCACAAATAGCTTGGATGCAATTCATTCAAAATATTATCGTAGCTCATATTTTATAGTTTTTGTTTCCTAATAAATAACAAATATATTTAATCTGACTGTACAACTTTCCCCGAAATAGATTAATTATACTAGGTATGATTTCATTACACTAAGATATTAAAAAATATCAAATCCTAATTTTTCTTAAAAAACTTGGATACATTTATTCATTTATTCATAATAACCTAGTAGCTCGCATTTTATAGTTTTCGTTTCCTAAGCCTAATTATTCATTTTTCTAATATAATGTATACCCTTCTTTTATTTGCATTTTTTTTAACCTTCATTAATTTTTGTTCTTATAATTGGTATATTTTTAATAAAAATTTTATGTCTATTCTTATTAGAATATCATTAATTTTCACAAATTTACGTTGATCCCCATAAATTCCCATGGGAAAGTTACCGCGATGAAAATTTCCAATTTCTCTATCCTATATACGAGCCAACATTATTAAAAATCACTATTCCTTACCCTACTTACCTCTTTTTTTTAAACTAGTAGTATATTTTAAAAAATTTATTTGTCATCTTGGCGGATCAAATTAACCAATTCCTAAGTTACTATGATATATAAATAAATATAGATCCTTTAAAATATTATTATTTTTTATCAAAAAATAGATGAAAACCTACTTTTTTAATCTCAAAATATATACTATATGAAACTTATATTTTATTTTATTTTACAAATGTTAATGATCTATAATGCAGATTGCATTATTGATAGGTGGGAGTAGGAAGAAAAGGGGGGGGGATTAGCTGATGAATAAGAAATATTTCAATAAAATAATATTAATTATATTGATGGTTGAACTAATTATACTTTTGTGAGGCAAGAAATCCCATAGAGAATTCCATAAAGTATGCAATTAAAGCGCCGTCCACTATAAAATATATAATAAAAAAAATAGAATAGAATGTAGGCTTATTATAAAGAATTTAACTAATATAATTTATTCAGCAATTAATAAATTATAGATATGCAATATTCTTGGAATTGGATTCAGTGCCAACTCTCAGCATTTTAAGAATCAGGTGAATACTGTCGATCCAATGCCAATTCACATCAGAGATTAGCATAGCTTCGTTTAAAAAAAATTGTACTCGTTGTCTAGCCCGGTGATCATATTTTGTTAAGGAAAAAAAATATATTTGTACCAAAGTTTTTAACTCGAATCAGTAAAGAAAAAAAATCGGATCTGATTGGACGGACAAAATTTAAGGCATTAACAAAAATATTCAAAAAATCATGCCAGTATTCCAATCAAAATTGCAATTAATCTCTATGATAAATTTTACCTAATTATTATATTAGTTTTAGACAAACCACACCCATGCTACGAATAATTGTTGTCTGGCGGGTTAAAAATTTATTAATATTGGGTGTGTGAGTATATAAAGGGGAATGGCTTATTATGACGCTTTTGATTAAACTGTAGCTTATATTAAATAAAATACATTATTTAACTATAGCCATTAGTTATTTTACTAGCTAATAGTTGCTAAGCTTTGGTAGACCCAGCTAAATTCAGTCGTTTCACATGTGTGTGCATTAGATAGAGGTAGATGTGTAGTGAATTTTATAATTTTAATATGGGGAATGATAAAAAAAAGATAACTTTTTATGACAAAATAGTATTTTATAAGTTTATGCATGCCCGTAGCAAGTAGGCCTTAGTTAAGGGAAGAAATTTGGGAGCTAAAATTTTTTTATTAGTCATTTAAGATAGTCAAACCGACAAACCAAATAATTTTTGAAAATGGTTGTGTAGTAGTGTTGTTAAACGGCTCGTTTTGAGCCGACTTTTAAAAACGGTTAACTCAATACTACACCCAGAAAAATATTACACAAACCTGAAAATTTTGCTCATAGAAGGAACAAAGGTCTATACACATATTAACGAAATCTCAAGGCTTAGGCAATATTTTTCTGGCTAAGATATTGAGTTAGCCGTTTTTAAAAATCGGCTCAAAACGACAAAACTATTGTGCAGTCAGGCAGGCTAAACAAAAATATTTGGGTGGGTGAATTCAGTTGTGTTGCTAGTAGTTTTGTCAAATTCAGGTCACTTTGAAAATTTTTAAATATCAACCCACGAAAACTATGCAAAGCGAAAATTTAATAATAATAACATAGAATAGTGTTTAATTTTGCTTATCAAGTTGATTTAAAAAATGTTTTGTTTTTTTTTAATTTAAGAAAAAGCAGGTAAATTAATGGATATTAAAAAAATTCCTTTTTTACATATGACTAAAATATACAACCCAACATATCTTCAATATTTCTGTCCTATTTTTATGAATGATAAATCAATTTTTATTCTATAAAAGGATTCAGAATTGATAGCTTAGTTAGATTTTGAATTAAAATACTTCATTTTTTTGACCAAACCAAGCATCCATTATTAAAAGGCTCTAATTTAAAAATATAAATATACAATCATGTTTAGCTCTCTGAGAGCATTCAGAAATGGTAATATTATTTTTCTAAAAAAAATTATTAAGTATCTAAATTTTTTTTGACTATAACTAAGCATACTTTATAATATAAGCTCAAATATAATAAAATCAATATTAAATCATTATTAGCTTATTGAGATGATATAGAAAATGTTATTTTATTTTTAAAAATCAAGAAAATTCCCTACACATCCTCAATAATTTTATGCTATTTTTAAAAAATGAATGCAGAATCATGTTTAGCTCTTCGAGGGGATTCAAAAAATGGTGATAATAATTCTTTTTAAATTTAAATTATAGAAATCTTTTTTTTGACCAAACTACGCATAATATATATCCCCTATTAAAAAGGCTATAATATATAAAATAAATATATAATCATGTTTAGCTTTGTGAGGAGATTCAGAAAATGGTAATATATTTTTTTTTAAATTTAAATCTAGAAAAAAACATTTTTTTGATCAAACTACGCATTGTCCACTCAAAAAGCTAAACTTGATTGTATATTTATTTTTTTATTAAATCAGAGCCTTTGATAAGGGATGCATAGTTTGATCCAAAAAAAGAAACAATTTTTCAAAATCCTACTGTTATCATTTTATTTAAAAAAAATTTATATTAACATTTTCTAAATCCTTTTAAAGAGCTAAACATGATTCCTATTTCATTTTAAAAAAATAGTGCATGATTTCAGATGTATATTTTAGTCAACTAAAAAAAGTTTACTAGTTGTTTTTTATATTAAAAAACATTTTTTTTAAAATCAACTTGATAAATTAAACATGATTTTATATTATTTATAAATTTGTGCTTCTATAATAAGTGATATGTAGAGATGCACAGTTTATGGGGATATGTATTTTAGTCATGCCCAAATTCAAAAAAGAAAAATTTCAATAAAAATTTGCATTAAAAAAGGAAAGAGGGGGATTTAGACTTGTAAAGAAATTAATTTAAAATTTTTTAGAACACTATCCAAAATGTTCAGGGAGTTTGGGTCCCTGTATATCTATTCCATCCCCTTCTAACAACATTATAGGAACAATTATTTTTAAATCTAAAACATGGTTAAAAAATATAGAACAATAGGTGGGTTGCCTGAAGGGCTAAACTCCAGCTCAGCCTTTGAACCAATAAACAATCATGCATGATTGTAATTATAATTTAAAATCTATAAATCATTCCTAAATTACATATAAGATATACTTGTAGAAATTAAAATAGATATTCTTATTTTTTTAATTTTTATAGTAATTCTTTTGAAAAAAATACTTACTATTTGTCAGCCAAAGCCCCAACAAGAGTCCCAAATAACATACTTGAACCAAAACCTGCAACAAATAATATCTCAATTTGATGAGAGGTCATTCCATAGCTTTGATATAATACATATACATAAGGACCTTGCAACCAATCTCCAGCTATAAAGTATATAATTAGAATTGTATTAACTGAAGATTACCTATTCCTAGTATGTAAACAATCAAATAAGCCCTTTGAAGATTCTTAAAGGTTATATCATTTGATGGAGGAAGGATAGTTTTTGTGGTTATATATAATATAAAACACAAGGTACATAATATACATAAGCATGCTATAAATATGTCCATATGTTTTATTAAATAAGCTAAGATCTTATAAATAAAATCAGTCCAAAACCTGTCAGAGTGTGAGATGTACGAATGACACCAAAATTTGATAGAAGATGAAATGGTTAATCAAATTCAAAGCTATAAAAAAAGTTGGAATCTCTAGGGAAATATAAAAAATAATCTCAGCAAGTAATTTATTTTATAAATTAATTATTCATTTACCTATATTTATTCGGTTTTTATTTTTTCCTAACTTTCTATCCCTGTAGTAAAACATATTGCTAGTTTATGAAAATAAAGCACTATTGTTTCTTTTCCTGCCCTTTAAAATTAATCGCATCATATCGTTCACTTTGGAAACTCACAATTAAGTGCTTCTACCTTGTATCAGAGGGCGTCTCTAGGATAGAGTTTTCATCCAACTTATTGGAAGTAATTTACCTTACTTTCAGGATCAGTTTAATTAGTGAGCGAAGACTGTACTTCTTGTCATAGTTGTACAAAAGATCTTCTTTGAAGATTTTTGAGCGAGATCTAGCTCAAAAATTTGAGCAAGATCTTTGAAGATCGTAAAATTTGAAGATCTTTTATTTATAAAAAAATTTGAGCAACGATCTTAAAAGATCTAGATCTTTGAAGATCGTAAAATTTGTAGATCTTTTATTTTTTAAAAATTTTGTGTAACGATCTTCAAAGATCTTCATGATATTTATTTTTTTACCCCTTTTCCAGATGTTTTTCAATTTTATTAATATAATATTTCTTTTATGTTTTATACCTCTCCTCCTGCCTTGATGAAAGAAAAAAATAAATTTTTTAAAAAAAAAATATTGACACAGCATGTTTCTAAAATTTTTGATGGCTTTATTATTAGATTGCAAAATATTAAAAAAAAGAGTGCCTACAAGAATATTTATTTTGATTGATATAAGAGTTAGTGAAATAATTTTTAAAAAATATTTAAAAATTTATTGAAAAGCTTCCTTTTCTTCCGAAATTTTTTAAAAAAAATAAAATTATAACTGTTTCCAATGAGAGTTTAGGTAGTGTTGCATATTATATAATAGTAAAGATGTGCTAAACCCATATTTTAAAAAAATTGGGTTTGGGCTTTGTCGGGTCTAAAAAAAATTTTTAAAAATTCCGGCAAGGTCGGGTAGTGCCTTGGAAATTTTTTAAAATAAATATAAATATATGATTAATTATAAAAAATTAATTTTTGCTAGCTGTGCTGGTAAAATTTTTTTAATCGGGTTCGAGCCGGAAAACATTTTTTAAAAATTTTGGGTTGGGCTTGAAAAATTAGGCCCTATGCAGATCACTATAATACATTATTATAATATATTTTCCTCTCGCTAATTAATAAGTAATTACTATGTTTAAGATAACACATTTGCATTTTATATATCCAGTAATAAATTTTTATTTCATTTTTTTTATATTTTTAAATCAAAATATAAATCTTTTGTGAGTTTTAAAAATAATTTCCGTTATTGAAAAAAAGGAATCAAAAAAACAGACCGGTCTATGGGTTTCGGAAACTTTCTTAGAAAGTGTGTCAGCATACCCTGGCTTAATAAATTAGTATCGCTATGCCAATTCCCCTTACTACTAGTTCAGATTGAGGTGCTAACTTTCTTTTAATTTCATCGCTATTTTTTAATATTGATTTTTTAAATAATTTTAGAAATGTATCTATTGGACATATATATTTGATAACATTAGTTCCTAAATTTGATTGAGATAATTAGAATACTTTTGGATATTCGTATTATTTAAGGAGGGGGGGATGTGCCTATTCTAAAGTCAAAATATAGTATAATTTATAATATCAATTTATACTTTTTATCTTTTATTAATTAATAAAGTTTAATAATTATTATTAAGGATAATTTATCTTAATGAGGGTCTGAACCACGGGTCTGTGCTCAGAGCTGGTTTATAGATTTTTTAGTCCCAAACCCCGGGTCTGGTTTTATACAACCAACCAATTAACAACACTTTAATATTAAGTAAAAGTCATGCTTTTACTATTTACAACGATATAAAAGCAAGTTGCGATTTTAAAAATAAAAGTAAAACAAAATTAACACTTTCCCAAGATGTCTAGGAAATGTCATAAAAACCACCAATAAAATCAGAATGATATGATATATTTGTCATTAGTTATTTTTTAAAATAGTTTACCAAAGAATTTTTTCTTCTAAGAGATATACTTCAAAATTTATGAATAATTTACCTCTTATTTGATAATTAATTTTTTTTACTTTATATACTCTAACTCAACGCATTTTTAAATCTTTCTATTTCTTTTAAAAATATTTTAAAAACGGCAAATCCAGTCAATTATATAGATGGCACAAAAGTTTGGACATCTATCAGCGAATTGGCGAGGTTTAGGTTAGGTCATATTAATAATAGCATGCCGAGCCAAAGTGTTTATCAAATTCGTATATACTATAATTATATTTTTGTGTATTATATTTTGATGTTTATAAAATGAGATTATTGTACATTTTTAAAAAATTTTAATAAAATTTTAATATTAGATTGAAGAAATAATTTAAATATTTTTTATAAGCATTTCTAATTCTAAAAATCGGACGTTTTTGGCCAATTTGTTTGGATAACGTTATATGAAATCAATAGGTTTTATTTCGTTTATTTTCTGTAAATTGTTATATGCTAATGAAAATTAGTTTCCTTATAAGTGTCATCTTGAAACATTATATCTGTTTATAATTTTTTTTGCAAAAAATTATATATTTTTTTTATAAGCTTTAGCAAAATTTTCGAATCGAATCGAATATTCGACGAATCGAAACGAATAATGATTTTATTATTCGTACGAATACTAATAACGCAATTATTCGATTCGTATTTTCGAATCGAATACGAATAATAGTATTATTCGATTCAATTTGTTTTTTTGTAGGCCTACTTAAAACAAGTATGTGTCGAAAGTAAAATTAATTTTGATTTTTTTAAGTATTTCAAAAGTTTAAGCCTTACATCCTATATATATAAATATTTTATTTTGTGTTTAAATTAATTGTCATTTTAAAATTAGTATCCCTTCACCTTGTAAAAATAAAATTTCATTAAAATAATTTTTTTTATTTATTCAAATAAAAAATAAGACATGATATAAAATTTTTAATTACAAATATTCAAATAAATATTTTATATAAATAAAAATCAAAATATAACGTTGTTTAATAAATTTTTATTAAGCTTGATTAATAAAATATCGTTTAAAGTAGATTTGTCCAATCTGGTTCGTAAAGGCGTTACGATCAATCCTAGGGCACTGAAGGATCTTTCAACCGACACTTGAGAACAAGGAGCAGCTAGAACTACTCGAGAGAGGGTATATAATTCAGGATCTTGATATTTTTTGGATTGCCAATACTGCAAAATATTTTGATCATATGGCAATTTTTGGCCATATATTAAACCATTTATTTTGGTCTTCATATCAATACTTTCAATATTTTGGTATATTGGAGCATTCGCGCTTTCTCGCTCAAATATAAATCCAGCCTGGTTTTTTTAGAACTGATAGGAATAACAGGAGAGCCATTCAGAGATTGATTGTCTTTTGGCTTATTAAAGATTTGAATTTGTCTCCACGTAGACATCAGATGGTCCTAAAATAAATTTTTTTATATTTAATTTAAAGTCAAATATTATAAATTTACCCTAGCCTGTAATTTATCGTATTCAGATGGATAGATTCCATTTTGATAATTAAATCTGGGATCCATGTAGATCCCACTTCTAAATACATTATTATCGAATAAATATTTCTAACCTGACGGTTATCCAAACATTTTATCAAATCATTAGAGAATTCGTTATTGATTTCCTCTAAATCTAATTTGCATTCCAGCCAGAGTTTAAAAAAATCCCCTATGGTACAAGATTTTTCTTGTAATTTTATTGTACATGTATTAGCCGGCGATAATACTGTGAGATATGTTTGAATTCTATCCCACAGTCGCGAATTAATAAATGTTTCAGAATATATTTGCCCCATTTTAATGTAAAAAATTATATTATCATTCAGATTTTTTAGCATTCTATAGGTGCTATTCCACCTAGTGACAGTGTCCAACACTGGTTTATTAACTTTTTCTAGTGTATATAAATTTTTATATTTTTGTGATTTAAATAATTTAAGAATCGATCTTATTTCATCTAGGTCCTCCTTAATAAATTTTTTTATAAAATCATTAACCCCTAATTGAATTGTATGGGCACAACAACGCACACAAATCAGCCCAAATGATTTTCTTAGATCATTTATTAAATTTTCCAAGTCATCATTTATTTCATCTTCATCATCGTGTTGAAGATCATCTTGATTTTGATTATGTATAATATACTCCATAGACGAATCACTATCATTTATATTTGAAATAGGGCTGTCATTTGCCTGGGCGATCTCTTTATCATTTAGAGAATCGTTAATTATTTGCGATGAAGACTCATTATCATTCATTTGGGACAAATTTTCTGAGAAGGCATCTTCATAAAGATCAAGATGAGTAATTAGCTGTTCTTCGGCTATCATTTCAACGGTTTTAACCATATTAGCACCATTGTCAACTGTTATACTGTATATTTGGCTCAAACATATATTATACTGTTTTAATAAATTATCTATTTCTTCCTTTAAATTAGACGCCGTGTGCGCCTTTACAATTTCTAACATACCCAAAGTTCGAATTTCGATCTTATCATCCATAATAAATTGGGCATTAACCCCCAACACTGATTTTTGAAATCTTGTGGCAGTATCTATCTTCAAAGAAATGAGCTTATTTTTTAGTTGTTGCATTATCTGGCATCTTATTTCTGACGCAGCATATTTTATTTTATCAATTACGATATGTTTGTTTATAGTCATATTCAACGATTGGACTATTGGATCTAATAATAGCCTGAATGATTCATATGTTACTAAATTAATTGGCAAGTTGTTAATGGCAATTAATCCCACAACCGATTATTAAACCTAATTTATTTTTTAAAAAAATAATAAGATATTTAAAATTAATAATTATTTTAGAACCCTGCAAAATTCAACTTTCAGGTCAAATCAGATTCAAAAATACCTTTTATATTTTATTTGGTAATCAATCAGATAGATTTTTATAGAATAGATGAAAATTATAGTTTTAATTCAATTTAAAATTGAAAAAAATAGTGAAAACAAATTTTTCCTAGAAAGAGGGATATTATATCGATCTACTTTTTATCTAGATTTCAATAATTAATATTAATTAACCATATTATATTTACCAGAGACCTGCAGGCCCGGCCCTAAGCTTGGGCCGTATTTTAATTTTTTTAAATATACCTGGGCCGGGCCAGAAATTTTTTTTTTAAAAAAAACCCAAATATATTATATCGCCATTATTAGCCATAAAAATCAAAAATAAATAGAATATATTTTTAAAAAATAAGGGCCGGGCTGAAAATTTTTTTTTAAACAAAGCCGGTCCAGGCCGGGTCTGAAAATATAAAATCCGGGCCGGGCCATGCCGAAAATAATTTCTGAAAAAAAATCCGGGCCGGGCCGAAAATTTTTTTAAAATAAAATCCGGGCTGGACCTGGCCGTACAAATGGCACCTCTGCAGGTCTCTAATATTTACCATGAAGAGGGGGTGGGGTATTTCCAACCTAAACGCCACTAAGGTAAAAATGATTTATATAACATTAGATAAGAATAACAGAACACTATTCTGTTCCGTACGTTTATATCAGTCTGAATCCTGGTTAAAAATAACAAAATGGATGTTTTTTATGTTAATTTAATACAATACTATTGATTTTAAAATTTATATCTGATTATAAATTTTTAAAAAAGTATATATCCAAATCAATGATTACAAGGGCTTATTTTAAAAATGGTTTTTTTTCCGGGGATTTTTTTTACTATTTTTTTAATTTTCTAAAAATAATTTAATATTATATAGGGATCAAAAAATATGGAAATTATTTTCCGGGAAATTATTTTCTGTGGGATTTTTTTTTCAGGGGAATTATTTTCATAGGGAATTTTTTTCAGGGGAGTAATCTTCCGGGGATTTTTCTTCACGGGGAATTATTTTCCTAGATTCCTTAAAAATAAATTAAACCCGAGTTAAAAATTATTTTAAAAAATTAAATTCTACGATTTAACAACAAAAAGTTGATTATATTATAATGATTTATTGTTTAATGTATGTAATAAAATACTTTCGATTTGCTCATGACGATTTTAATTGTTTGGGTTGTCTTCTCGTTTGACTGCGAACTTGCTGTTGACGTATCACAAATGTTAACTTCATCTGATTTCAAATTAGCTGCAATATTAGGATGTTGACTTAAAATATGTCTTTTAAGATTAGCTGTAAAATGCAAATATATTTGAATTATAAGGTTATTAAATCATTTTTAAACTAGGTAGGCTGTGTAAAAATAAAACAATTGGAGGTTGTTATAAAAGTATATATATTCGGTATCGAATTAATTTTAATTTCGCTATAAATCATTTGTTAACTAGGTTTGGTGAATGACTATAAAAATAGAAGAAAAATTATAAGCCTCTTTTTAATTGTCCTTTAATTCATAAGATTTTGTTTGATTAACTAATGAGAGTTGGGCGAAAACAACGGACTAGGAAAAAAATTACTTGTGAAGATATTTTTCTACAGGTATAGCCAGAAATTTGCAAAAATTTTAAATTGGCCAAAGTCTTTATTAGCTTAAATATATACGTTACACACCCTAATTGTTCTAAAATTTAAATGACGAAAATATAAAAATTTGGTTTATGTAACTTTAATTAAAAAGAAGAACCAATAATAAAAAGAAGAACCAATAATAAAAAGAAGAACCAATAATAAAAAGAAGAACCAATAATAAAAAGAAGAACCAATAATAAAAAGAAGAACCAATAATAAAAAGAAGAACCAATAATAAAAAGAAGAACCAATAATAAAAAGAAGAACCAATAATAAAAAGAAGAACCAATAATAAAAAGAAGAACCAATAATAAAAAGAAGAACCAATAATAAAAATAAAATATATTTAAAATATCTTACATGGAATTGATTTGAGCTTTTTATGGCATGAGCTGCATGTCGCAAAAATATTGTCGTTGTCAAATAAAAAAAAATTAGAATTTACAGAATTTTTTTTCATAATTATAATTTAAAAAATTTATTTTATTTAATAAAGAAAAAAATTTAATTAATGATTATGTTTACGAGTTTTAATCTTTAAAAAAGTATATATCCAAAAATAAAAAAACGAAACGAAATAATTTTTTTTTCTTTCAGGCAAGGGGAGGTATAAAAGAAAAGAAATTATAAAAATTGAAAACCATTTGGGCTTTTAATAAAGGGGGATATATTTGGGAGAATCAAGGAATGATTTGAATTGAAATATATACGTGGGTTGAATTATAAAAGATGAGGTACAAAAAAGGTATATGCGCAAGAATTTATTATAATTATATTGAGATGAATTGTAAAATCAGAGATACAAAGAGGTATTTGAAATTTGCGTAAAAGTTTAATATATTGGGATGAAGAAGTATGAGTTGAATTTTAAAAGGAGAGATACTAAAGAGAATATAGGATAATTAATTTGATGTTAATATTGAACTATTTCCCTAAGTTTAAAATAAAGAATCATAATTACAACTGCATTTCGCGACTCGAGTTGGTAGAGTAAAATTAAAATATATAAAATATTTTCAGAATAAAAAAAACTGAATTGACCCATTTTAATTAGTTGGGTCTAGAATTTAACAACCCATAATTATATCAGAAACATGGATAGGGTATAGACCTAAATATATATTTTCTAGCGGGGTTAGGCCGGGTTTGGGTTCTTTGGAAATTTTATGCAATATGACTTGGGCTGGGCTTGGGCTTAATTTTTTTATTCAAATTTAGCTTATTTTAAGGATATATAATATGACAAATATATCATATCATTCTGATTTTATTGGTGGTTTTTATGACACTTCCTAGACATCTTGGGAAAGTGTTAATTTTGTTTTACTTTTATTTTTAAAATCGCAACTTGCTATTTTATATCGTTGTAAATAGTAAAAGCATGACTTTTACTTAATATTAAAGTGTTGTTAATTGGTTAGTTGTATAAAACCAGACCCGAGGTTTGGGTCTAAAAATCGACCAAACCAGCTCTGAGCACAGACCCGGGGTTCAGACCCTCATTAAGATAAATTATCCTTAATAATAATTATTAAACTTTATTAATTAATAAAAGATAAAAAGTATAAATTGATATTATAAATTATACTATATTTTGACTTTAGAATAGGCACATCCCCCCCCCTCAAATAATACGAATATCCAAAAGTATTCTAATTATCTCAATCAAATTTAGGAACTAATGTTATCAAATATATATGTCCAATAGATACATTTCTAAAATTATTTAAAAAATCAATATTAAAAAATAGCGATGAAATTAAAAGAAAGTTAGCACCTCAATCTGAACTAGTAGTAAGGGGAATTGGCATAGCGATACTAATTTATTAAGCCAGGGTATGCTGACACACTTTCTAAGAAAGTTTCCTAAACCCATAGACCGGTCTGTTTTTTTGATTCCTTTTTTTCAATAACGGAAATTATTTTTAAAACTCACAAAAGATTTATATTTTGATTTAAAAATATAAAAAAAATGAAATAAAAATTTATTACTGGATATATAAAATGCAAATGTGTTATCTTAAACATAGTAATTACTTATTAATTAGCGAGAGGAAAATATATTATAATAATGTATTATAGTGATCTGCATAGGGCCTAATTTTTCAAGCCCAACCCAAAATTTTTAAAAAATGTTTCCCGGCTCGAACCCGATTAAAAAAAATTTACAAGCAAGCCAGCAAAAATTAATTTTTTATAATTATTCATATATTTATATTTTTTTTAAAAAATTTCGGAAGAAAAGGAAGCTTTTCAAGAAATTTTTAAATATTTTTTTTACAATTCAAATAAATAAAAATTATTTCACTTTTCAATGATAATATTAAAAACTCTTATATCAATCAAAAAAAATATTCTTGTAGGCACTCTTTTTTTAATATTTTGCAATCTAATAATAAAGTCATCAAAAATTTTAGAAACATGCTGTGTCAATATTTTTTTTTTAAAAAAAATTTATTTTTTTCTTTCACCAAGGCAGGAGGAGAGGTATAAAACATAAAAGAAATATTATATTAATAAAATTGAAAAACATCTGGATAAAGGGGTAAAAAAATAAATATCATGAAGATCTTTGAAGATCGTTACACAAAAATTTTAAAAAATAAAAGATCTTCAAATTTTACGATCTTCAAAGATCTAGATCTTTTAAGATCGATGCTCAAATTTTTTTATAAATAAAAGATTTTCAAATATTACGAAATAGGTGCCCCGAACCAGGATAATGGTTTACAAAAAATATTTATAAAATTTTAATGGGTTATTTTGAGCAAATGTACAACTCTGCTTCTTGTTGCTTAGAATCTATTGATTGTAATTTACCCTAATGGTGGGGCCCTTTTAATTAAAGAGGAATAACGATTCTTTAAAAATGGTTTATAACTAAAAAAAAATTATCTCTAGATTTCTAAAGATTCGTTTATTTGTTATATTTTTAATTACCTTAAATGTAAATCAAAAAAAATATTAAAAGAATGAAATGAAATTGTTATTTGTATATGTATGAATTTATTCATATATTTTATCGTATAAAATAGAAATAGATGATACAACCCTCAGAAATATCAGCTCTTTGGTATCAATCAAATGTGAAAATAATATTGGTAATATTTATGATATTTGATTTTTAATATCCTTTTAAATTTAAATTATTATTTTTACAAATTATGAGTAAAAAATAATATAACGTATTAATGTCATATTGTTTTGACAGTAGACAGGTCCTATTTATGATCGTATTGTAAAATATTAGTAGCAGGGCCAAATGTTGAATTAGCAAAATTTTTATTATTTTTAATTTAAAAATGGAAAGGTTAAAGGAGGAACAGAATGACAATGTTATATCTGCTGATCTTTATCATCCAATGATCCTGGATGAAAGATTCCACAATTCTTGGCTTGTTAATGATTGCCCCAATATAATAGATTTGCTTAAATGGAAGTTATTTGGTAATGATAAAAGTTGTATACCTGATAAAAAGGTATCCATGTTTGATTATCAAATATAACAATTATATCTAGATCTTGGATGAAACATTACCTATAATAATGCCTTATTTTATCAATAATCTAACTGAATTAAGAGATCACCAAGTTGAAGTTACGTGGTTAGGTCATTCCACACTTTTAATATACTTGGATGGAATATTTATTCTTACTGACCCAATATTTAGTGAATATTCTTCTCCTATAGCTCATTTAGGGCCTAAAAGGTACAGAAAAATACCATGTACTGTTGAACAGCTTCCCAATATCCATGCTGTTATAATCAGCCATTCACATTTTGATCATTTAGGTTTATTTTAATATATAATTAAATTAATAATATCTCAAGATCTACCAAGTATTAAAGATTTACACAAAAAATTTGGAATGAATCTTAAATGGTTTGTCCCCAAAAATATGAAGTGTTGGTTGATAGAAAATGCATTCTATTCTGATATCACATATCTACCATTAATCTTTATAAAAAATAAAAGCAATGATTCTAAATCAAAAACATTTTTCACAAATATATATGATATGACTTGGTGGCAAAGAGAGAAATTTTCATTTACATCAAAAGGTAAAATAATAGGTAATGTTTATCAAAAAAATTTTAGACAATTTACAAGAAAATATTCAAATAGAATTTACACTTTTACCTGCTCAACATTGGTGTAAAAGGACTCTGAATGATGAAAATAAAGTTACCTTTAAGTTTTTCTTAATTTTTATATTAACTAAGTAAATTTTAGCGCGTTAAATATTTAATCTTTGTACTATATATTTTATATAAATATTCATAATCATAAATAAGTTATTATAAAATACGAAAGAGTAGATAATTGTTTAGCAAAATTAAGTCCAAAAAACATCTTTGGGGTGGAATATGGTTTCAAAGTATTTATCCCCTGAATGAAACTCGAACCGAACTCAGCTGAAAAAACTATAGTGGGTTCCCCTAATCATCATTTATATTCTTTTTACCTAGCCATAACTTTAAACCAAAGTTTTAAAACACTTTTAATCTCGTTCGGTACAAGACAAAAAAAACTAAAGGGTTTCGATAATTTTTTCCATCCCCATTCTTTCTCCATAAATTTTTTTTAAGAATCTCGTAAATTATATTTCTATAATAATCATTCAAGATGTTATGGGGAAGCTGGGCCATTAAATCTAGGCATCCCTCAAGCCCGGCCTCAAATAAATCCGTTTATTTTGCTGGCGATACCGGTTTTCACGCTCCCTTATTCGAACAAATAAGTCGCCTCATGGGACCTTTCGATTTTTGCGCCATACCTATTGGAGCTTATGAGCCCAGGTTCGTAAAATTCTCTAGTTGCGAATTTTTTATATTTATAAATATGTATATATATATGAGCAGCAATATTTTATTTTTTCAACTTCTAATCCTTTTTTGAGCCCTTTTTTTTAAATTTTAATATCTGACTTAGAAATGTATAATCTATGATGGCACTTGAATCATGGATAAAAAATGGAATCATTTTTGATTTTTTAGAAAATAATTAAATTATTTATATACAATTTATTTTATAACCAAATATATATATCAAAAAAATTAATTAAATATGTATCATATTCATATTGATATAATTTATATTAAATAAATTTGTATTTTAATATTCTTTTGATTAGGCCTTTGTGTATAATATAATAAAAATGATTGATGATATAATTGAAATATTAATAGGGAGTTTAACTATTCATTTTTAATAAATTTAAATGTAGAATAAAACTTTTGTAGCTTTATAGGAAAAATTTTTTTAGGTGGGACCGGACCGCCTGGACTGGACCGACGGTCCTACGGTCCGGTCTCATTTGACTTAACGGTCTATCGGTCCTGTCCCATTTTAGAAAAAAAAGACCAGACTGGACCGTTGCAAACACTAGCTTAAAATCAGATTTTTGAATGTGAAAAAAAAAACTCGCTTAAAAAATGATTTGAGTTGTAAAAATAATACATTGCCGCTAACATATACTCATTTTACAATGGTAACAAAACATCGCATGAAACTTTAAAAGAGTCTTATATTAATAGGTTAAAATATTCCATTTTAATTTTAAAAAATAAACGATAATTGGATATTTTTGTGGGATTACACAATTTGCCGATAATTTTTGGCCTAAAACTTAAAATAAAAGTTTTGGAATCTAACTTTGCCTTAAAAATGAATTTTAAAAAATTGTTGAGCCGGTTTTGAAATGAATTTTTTTTTAAAATTTGGACCATACTTAAGATTAGAAAAAGAAACAAAAATCGAATGCAGTACAACAAGACTCCTTGAGCCTATAAGTTAAATGGTCACTTAATTCCAAAAATAATTTTACAATCTATGTCAATCATTAATTTAATAAATTTATCAAAAAGATGGTTAACAAAATACAATCACGTCAATCCCGAAGAAGCTGTTGAAATTCATAAAATTCTGAAATCACGCCGTTCCTTGGCTATCCACTGGGGAACGTTTGTTATGACGGACGAGGTACAAAGTAGTATATTGATTTGCCCTTATAATGGCATTAAAAAAATTATCATAAAATGTCAGTTCATTTTTTATATAAATAACTTGCGACAAATTTTTTTGCTTGATTCAAATCAGTGAACCGCACTGCAAATTCAAAACTAAATAATGAAAATAATTTAAAATTATTTTTGAAAGTAACTAATTCAATATTTTAACCAGAAAAATTGTTTGCAAGGACTAAATATTTTACTCATAGGTGGCACAAAGTTATGGACATCTAGTGTCTAAACCTCAAGGCTTAGGCAATATTTTTCTTGTTAAAATATTGAGCTAGTCATGTTTAATAATCGGCTAAGTTTAGCCGATTAACAACACTAGAGATCTGATAAACCCTGCCATTTTGGGCAATTTTTTTAAAAATTTTGGGGTCTGGTCAGATAATTTATATACAAAATATCAGACACAGCCTCGCAAATCTCTGATTTTTCATAAAATTTTAACAGAACATCCTGGTTATGAATAATTTTTAAAGTCACTTTTATTGAATCAAAAAAATATCACTTCACAAATCTCCATAAAAATTAATTAATATCAAACAATTCAAATTCCAATTCATAAATATATAACTCATTTCATAAAATCTCCGACTCATTACATAAAAAATCACACACTGAATAAAATATTTTTTTTTCAATAAAAACATATTATCAAAAGAAATCTGATTGACATTTCTTGAAAATAAATAAACATTTTTTATTTTTCTCTTTAATTGAACATTTGCAGCACGCCCACCCTTCAAAAGCCCAGATACCATATAATTATCGTTCTTTTAGGACATTGATCATTTCCTCGTCATTTATCGAATTGTATCTTCAAACATTACTAACTTTTAACTCTTGAATAGTCTTCTTTCGACATGCGAATTATAATAATTAATATAATTTATTTGTTTCATAATACATATAAATATATAAATTTGGATTCAACAATCCTTTACAACTATTTTTTCCTTTTCGTAATTTTCAATTATAAAACAAATAATTGTCCACAACAAAATAAAGGAATATTAATATGGATAAAAAATAATAATGTATAATTATCACTATTAAAACTACATATATGGAATATCATTATATCCTTATAATTATCACTATTAAAACTACATACATGGAATATCATTATATCAATTAAGAAAAATAATATGAACCACAAAAAAAAAATATAAATATATGTCATATTACAAAAATACAAAACTACAACATATTTATATATATAATGTCACCAAAATCATATTTTTTGTTACCAAAAAAAATTTAAAGATGTGCCGATGAATAAAAAAAAATTAAATTTTATAATTATCACTATTAAAACTATAAACAATATCATCACATCACATTCCATCCTTTTTTAAAACTCTTTTATTTTTCATAATTCAACCACAAGGTCAAAGTTTAAAATCTTTTATTGTCCACCAACTTTTTATTTAAAGTTTTTTTTATCACATATTATTTTTAAAAAATTTTATTTTACATTGTTTCACGACAATGTCTCTTTAAATTAAAATATTTTTTCTTTAAAATTAATTTACACAAAAGATTGTATTTCATTGAACTTTCTAATACCATGACACATGGTATTATTCACATGAATTTATTAAAATAAATCTTTTTATTTTATTAATAACAATTTAATTCTTAAATTAAAATAATCTTCTCTGTCGCTTAAGATAAATATTCCATATACTACTACCCTTATGAAAAATTTGGTTATAATATATTATCACTTTTAATTTGGCTTTACTCAAAACCACAATTTCAAATCCATCAAATTGTTTAACACACATGTTTTCTTTCTCGAGTGTACCCTCAGGCCAATATTTATAATAATTTGCTCTAGACATTATTGAAATGCTTGCCCCAGTGACAACATTTCTATATCTTGTCTATCACATTTTATATTTACAAGAGGACATGAACACTGATTACTTTCTCTTTCAATCATTAAAATTTTATTCATTTTCATTAACTGAATTATATTTATTATATTTGAATTAGTGATCTGCATCGGGCCTATTTTCAAGCCCGGCCCAGTGCAACGTTCTAAATGAATTCCTATTTTAAATAAATTCCAATTTAGTGATATTGACATTTATGACTGACATGTTAAGATTTAATATAATTTTTTTTAGTGATATTGACATTTATAACTGACGCGCATATGTTAAATATAATATTTTTAGTGATACTGACATTTATGATTGGTGTAAAGATTAAGTATTATATTTTCTATTGTTATAGATATTTAAGTTAATTTCTGTTTTAAATAGATTCTAATTTAGTGATATTGGCATTTATGACTGACATGTTAAGATCAAATATAATTTTTTGTGATATTGACATTTATGACTGACGTATAAAGATTAAGTATAATATTTTTATTAATACTGACATTTATGACTGACGTGTAAAGATTAAGTATTATATTTTCTATTACATTGATATTTATGGCAAATTTGCTTAATTTGTATTTAAAATTAACTCTTAAAGTTTTATATATTAATTTAAGGTTAAGTTCGAAAATGTCAAAGCTTAATATAGAGATGTGAGTTAAAACAGGATTAGAAATAATATATAAGTTAATAAAAAATTTTAAATAATTTAAATACTTTATTTAAATTGTATATAAAATTTACGCATATATAAAGATTAGAAAAGATATAAAAAAGACATGTTTTATAACGATATGCGACATAAATAAGATATACGATATAAATATCAAATAAGACATGCGTTATAAAGATATGCAATATAAATAAGACATGCGTTATAAAGATTTGCGATGTAAATAAGACATGCGTTATAAAGATATACGATATAAATAAGATTAATTTGCGATTAAAAGATTAATTAAAATTTATTATGCGGTCAAAATGTTCGCGATAATTTTTAAATATATATTCAAATTAAATTTTTTGATGTAACTTAATTTTTTAATTGGCGTGTAATATGCCCATTTATAAATGGTATGGATAATTATATTTGTTTGAAGCATAGTTCAATGCAACTATCTCCACCTCTGTTCCATAAGTTGCATTTTGAGCCATGCCTGTTCTCTCCAAATATTTGTCAACGGGTTCTCCCAAAAACCCCTCCATCTGCTCAACAATATCCTTGCTTCCAGAGTTGTTAAACGCTACTTTTAAAAATAGTGCGCTACCGCTATCGCTATTAGTTAAAAAAAGTAGCGCGCTACCACTATCGCTACCCCCCCCCTCATGAAACATGAAAAAAAAGATTATTTTTTTTTTAATTTTATTTTTTTTTAATTTTTATTTTTAAAAAATTTTTTTTTTTAATTTTAATTTAATAAATTCTTAATAAACGCTTGATTTTTATTTTTTAAATTTATTATAAATAATATTAGATATACACATTTGATTATTTTTATATTTATTAAATAAATTTTATATTATTTTGCATTTCATAAAAGTTGTCTAGTTTGTCATTCCATTTTATAAAAATATATATTTCTCATTTTCAATATAAAAAAACAATAATTAATTTATTCATATTTCAACAAATCACATCCTACACTTATTACTACATTGAAAAATCTTCCTGATGGTGATGATAACGATATAATATTTTCTTTAATATTTTTACTTTATTTTATATCATATAGTAAGATTTCAATCACCACCAACATATCTTCCCATCTCAAATTTGAAAGATCAGACCATTCCACTTCTTGATCAAGGTAAAATATTTTGTTTAATATTTTTATTTTACATTATATTGTAATAGTTCAATCACTAACATATCTTCCCATCTCAAATTTTCAAGATCAGACTATTCAACTTCTTGATCAAGGTATAACTAGAGGTGGGACCAATACCAATATAATATTGGTTTACAATACCAATATAAACCAATATATATTTAAATATTGGTATTGCTTTTACAACCAATACCAATTACCTAAATATATTGGTTTTGATATATTGTTTAAATACAATTTTAACCAATACCAATATTAAAAATAACATAATTATTTGGGTTTATCGTGGATAATTATATCGTGGTATTTTTTTTACTTTCATTGCAAAAACTGATTACATCTGTTATTTCTTCCAAATACTATTGTGATATCGATATTTCTGTTATTTATAATTATAGTTTATTTTTAATATGGAAGTAAATTTTTTACATGATATCTATCAATTTTATCTATTTATTTAGGATATTATAATAAATGAAGACCAAATAGAGTTAATAAATATAGATGCTGTTGATACTAATAATAATAGCGATAAGGAACAAGAAGAATTATCAATATCTAATAAAAGACCAAATTCAGCAAGGGAATTTTATACTACTTGTGATAATAAAAAAAATGCAATTTGTAAAAAATGGAAAAAAAAAATATCACTTCTTAATTTTGGAACCTCATGATTATGGACACATCTTAAATCCATCCACCCAACATTATATAAGAAATGTGAGCAAATAAATATTGGCAGTAAAAAAATTGACAATAAAATCATTTTTACTTAATAATATAAATAATAAAGCTAATTTAAATAATTTAATTATAAACTTTTTCATTCAAAATAATTTAGCCTTTTCAATAGTTGAGGATATCACTTTTAAAAATTTAATAGCATATTGTAACCCTTCACTAACATTAGTTTCTAGAAAAACACTAAAAATAGAAATTATGAAACATTATCATAGTTCTTTTATCAATTTAAAATCTGTACTTTCTAACATTACATCTAAATTTTCCTTAACAATGGACATTTGGTTCTCTCCAAATAAAATACCCTTTATGGGCATAACAATTCATTATATTGATAATGATTTTAAATTAAATAATCATTTATTAGATTTAATTCCTTTTAAATCAGCACATAATTCTATTAATATTTTTAATTCTGTATTAAAAGTAAAATTTGAAATTGATTTTTTTTGCATTACATTAGACAATGCAAGTAATAATTTAGCATTTCTAAAAATTTT